TATTAGGGTTTAACAAGCACATACATGAATAATAGAAAATAATTTTTGCACTTGTATAAAGCTGTATAATCTAATTTCAACAGTAATCCAGCTTACTTCTCTCTCCACTGTCCCCCCATCTCTTGAAATACTCAATGGTTTCTGTCTCGATTAGCCTGACGTGCTCCTTAAAACGAGCAATGTTCAGTCCAGTTTTCAGCATCTTTTTCTGCTCCAGAAAAAGCTGCAACAGAACAAAGTAGCGGTTATATGTCCTAATCTAGGCTCTGGTTACATGAACCCTTCTAAGTAATCTCAGGAGAACTCACAGGGTTTGGGACATCGTAAGCTACTCCTTTTCCAAACACTGGGGTTGTCAGTTTGGAGTAGACGTCTTCTGCATTCAGGTCTTCATTCTTACTGTTGAACATAAGCATGGCTGCTTCACTGCCCAACAAGTAGGTGAAGGTTTTCCCCACCATGGTGAAACTGAACACTGGACCGTACTGCAGGCGACAGGCAGGGGGGGAGATTAACCAACACTCAGCAAACTTTTTAGTTTTTTCAAAGATTCTAGAATGTGAAAGTAAACAGAAGTGAAAGTCGGTTTGGTTGAAGCTAAGTCTGTTTCTTTTGAGTCATAATACCATCAAAGGACAAATTATAATACTGATGCCTAATTGTTCTGCATGATTTGGATCTATCATATGCTTCCTTTACATGTACTGACTGATTCTGGATTAGTGATTGAGCTCTAAGCTTCAGAAATCCCCTTCAGGACATAGTATTTTCTACTTATATTCTAAAATATATCTACATTAAAGGGCGTCTTTATGGGCATGAGAACATTATTTATTTACATGCTTTTTTCAAGCATCAGTGTAGAAATCATCTGATTTCGGGTGAAACTGAACTGCTACTACTTAAACTTTTCCTAATTTTGTCTACAGTCACACTTTTCACAGATTTTACTGAATAAAAGTTATGAATGGTTTTCTAATTTTGTTTTTTTGTTTTTTGCTGAAATAAAATCTGGAATGTGTGATATTTGTTTTTAGTCTCTTTACTCGGCAGTCCAGGTCAACTAAGTGCCTGAATAAGCCTCCTTTCCACCTGAAAACTAACACCACACATCCTGCTGACCAGGTAGACAGGAAGAACTATAGTGTGTGTAAATGGCCTAGTCAAAGTCCAGACCTAAATCCATTTTAAATGAAAATGCAAGCCACATTTCTCAGATGTTGTTTGTAAAGGGAAAAGTTTGCATTTTGTGCCTTGCATAATACATGTGTTGCTTCAGGTTTATGTGTCACATAAAGACAAAAAAAATAAGTTTAAAAGTATATATATATATATATATATATATATATATATATATATATATATAACAATATATATATAACATGTTTATAATCAAAGTTTATCCTTTAAATATTTAAACCTGTTTAGTCTCTTTATAGAAGACAGATTTTTTTTAGCAAGGACATTTTTTAAAGATGCTGGATAATTAAATACTTACTTTTTCATAAGCATTTTCTAGAAATTCAATCGGGCTTTTTCCAAAAGCAATAGCATGTCCAAGGAAAGGGATGCTAGAGGGAATGTAGGGCGGATATTTCTGTTACAAGAAAATATAAACAAGTGTTAAAATTAAAAAGGATTTCTTTTAACTTATTGAATTAAACAGTTAAGATGACAGAGGTAAGTTACCGCATCTTTATCTGCAGACTCCTTGAACAGCCGTTTGGAGACATAACCCACAGTGAGCGTAAAAACCGAAGCTGCCAGAACCAGGGAGGTCAAGTTCTCGTTCATTTTACCCACAGTGTCACCGAGCAGCTTGGTGCTAATCTGGTAGAAGTACATCGACATGTTCAAGGACCTCAACAACAACCGAATCCTCCCGGGAAAAAAAAAGGTTTCTTCTCGCTCCGACAGCTCAGCTACCTGCTGAGTCTTATCACCGGGGAGCAGATCTGATACTCCTCTGAGTATGGAGCGTTTCTACCTGTCACTTCCAGTTCCGCCCCCGCCTGACTGTTTCTGGAATCTGATTGGCTGCTGAACACGTGTCAGTCAAACAACTGTAGTTTTGATTGGTTGGTGATACCTCAAGCGATGTCTTGCTATATGATGTCATGCTGAGGTCCGTTTTATTTCTAATAAACTTTTCTTTAATAAAGAATTATCAATTGTCTGAAATTCCAGTTATGCTTTTAGTGTTGTAAATTGTGATGATAATAATTGTGCCTAATACTGCCAAACCAAATAAATGAATTCCTGAAACAAAGTAGTTTTAAATACTGTTTAATGAAATTGCAAGTCTCCTGCTGAGTTAATGAGTAATATGCTTAAAACTATGTACGTGATGTTGTTGGCTTTGAAAGCAAGGTGTGTAGATTTATTAATTAAAAAAGTATAAATGACTGATTGCACGAAAAAAACACGTGTTTTAATACCGTAGTGTTTTTAAAGAATAGATAAAAGAATTATTGAACAACATCCAAAGTTTGCAGATTATTGGCTAAAGTCTATTCAGAGTTGTAACGTTGTTTGAAATAATAAAGATTATTAAGGTTTTTAACTCACTACGTTGTGCTTTCTTTTGTTTCTTAGTGGATTATGCTGCAGTGCATGTGGAATTATGATTTAATTCAATTCAGTTTATTCTTATAGCACCAATTCACAACACGTCATCTCAAAGCATTTCACAGTTCTCTAGATCATACAGTCAAATTGATTCAAGGTTTTCTTTCTAAGGAAAAAACAGTTGGTTGTATTGACTCATTGACTCAGATGCATCCCTCACAATAAGCATGCTTGTACTGTAGTGACAGTGGAGAGGAAAAACTCCTTTTTAACAGAAGGAAACCTCCAGCAGAACCAGGCTCAGTGTGAGCGGCCATCTGTCGAGGTCGACTGGGGTTCAAGGAGACAGAAGCAGTGATACACAAAGCAACTGTCCAGGAAACACACAACCAGCTCCGAGCCAACTCCCATGTCAGAGGATGAAGATAGCACATCCAGCTAGTCACAGTCAGAGAAACAGGACACTGGAAAAACAGGCCGATCTCTAACATCTGTAAACAAAGGTATACAACTGTACTATACTATACAACTCTACTTATTTCCTTTGTTAGGACGAAATAGTTTATAGTATCATACCTCTTCTACCTGATTTAGCAGTTGACATTGAGCTGTTACCATTGCTTTATCACTGTGCAAAATACAGAAGTAGCTGTCTTTGAGTGCAATATTTGGTAGGGTGTAATATGTGATGTGAAAAAGAAAAAAAATGAGTGAAAATAGTACAAGGTGGAAGACTGATAGAAAACGGCATGCTTTCCTAATAACGGGTAGCCCCGGTCTTCTGGTTAAAGTGAGAACAGTGTAGAAAAAGCAGTGGGTTTTTACCATATCAACATTCCAACCCAAGTCAATGTTTCTTCATTCAAAATTTCTAGCAACTGTTATTTCTTAGCATACACATTTACCATCAAAAACATCACATTTATTCTTAGGATTGTGTTTTAAAAAAACGTGTACACCAAGATTATGCTGTTGGAATTATAAATGACACATTTATTTTTTCCCAGTGTTCTATTGTCATTACACTGTCACAAGTACAGAGCAAGGAAATTAACTCTGTGTATTTAACCCATCCCCTTGGGGAGCAGTGTAGGGTTAAGGGTCTTTTGCTCAGGGAACCAGAGTGGCAGTTTGTGGAAGTGGGTTTCAAACCTGCAACCTTTGGATTCCAAGCCCTGTGCCCAAACCACTAGACCACCGCTCCCTGTTAACAGGTGGATCTGATAAGTGATAATGAAAACTGGGCGGAGCTAAGCGGGAGGATGAAATAAACCAATAATCCAGTCATCAGATCAGCCAAGATCATGACCAAACCTTCACTTTGAGAATCTGTTACAAAGATATTTTGCAAAAACTGCTTTAAGAAGAAAACTAAACACAAGATATTAGAAGTTTATACAGTTAAGCTGCTGAAGTAATGTTTCAGTAACAACGTTCTTATATAGAAGGCTGTCTATTCCTCAGAGTTTTCCTTCCGGTTCTTTTCCTGGAAGCAATCTATTTAGTTTAACTATGTTTCACCTAAGGATTGGTAAATCTATAAAAAGGTCAAAACAGAGACATTGTAGCAAGGTCATCTCCTGCCTATATGTCATGAGTCTTTGTGTTGCATTAGGTGGATGCTTAGACACATCATCAAAACCCTGATGTTGTTCCCTTCTGCATCTATGCCTCAGACCCGGGGAACCTTGCAGAATAGAATCGTTAAGTCTTAATATAAAAAGTAAAACAAATAAAAAATAAATAAAACATGAGTTGTATTGGGCTATATGCCTAACTCTATTTCCTGGACTTCAGCCAGCTCAATTTTTTCCCTTTCTTTCATTACTGAGCAGACTGATTAATCCAGGTGTGGCTGAACTCAGTAACCATGGCGACATTAGCCAGACACACCTGTATTAATCAATCTGTCCAGTAATAAAAGACAGGAAACAAAGGAGCTGGGTGAAGTACAGGTACTAGTGTAGTAGGGCATATAGCCCATGGTTTGTTTTAACAAGATAATGATCCAAAGCATAATGACCAAATTATTTTAGAAATTGTTCACAATGCCTTAAATGAAATCTTCTCACATCCGATACTAAAGTGGTACAAAATAGGAATAACATAGCTGCCAGTAATCTTCTTTAAAACAAAATGTATATATATCTATATATATAGATATATATATATATATATCTATATATATATATAGATTTATATATAGATTTTGGTCAGTAAAACTGATTCATAGAAATGTTCTATAGTCAGAGAAAACCTATTATGCAGACTAGTCGATCACTAATTCATGTGTCTTTCATGCATGTGTTTGTTAAAAGCTACAACTTTCAAAGTAATCAGATAGTCTACTCTTAAAACAAAACGTTAAAAACTGTATAGTTCAAGTGAGTACTCACAGACAAATCTATATATACTTGTTTATTAAAACAAACATTAAATAATAAAACTATTTACATAGATTCAAAATGCTGGACTCGTAACACACCAAGATAGGTTAGATTGCTGTCCATAAAAAAGGCCACTCTGGCGAGTCGAACTCTCCATCCAGGTGAGGATGGTCAGTGTAAGGGATGTGTTTGCAGGTTTTTGGCAGATTCAGTTTCTTGAAATGTCCTCAGCCGTAGGCATATTTATCCGTAGGACCTTTTTCAGTTGGAGTCATGTGTCCACTTAGTTTCATTAAAAGCTTCACAATAAGGCCAGCCTGGAAGCAAAATAAGAAACAACGAAGAATCACTGTAAAGGTAAGTTTTTCAACTTTGAAGATAATATTTCAGTTTAAAAAACAACAACAACAAACATCTGAAATTTGACTGGCATTTTTATTGAATGTAGTGATTCCCAGGAGTAGTTACCTGTTTTGTGTGCACAATGAAGTTCATCTTGTTGTCCCCACTGTGGATCTGGAAGTACTGGTCAGCATGCCCGAGCTGCCACATGAACGTGCCATACTCTAAACTGATGAGAAGGACCTGCAGCAGGGAACAAAGAATCAGAAACACAGTTCTGTGTAGCAGAGCAAGCAAACTGCAAAATCTGAAGGTGGCGACGACACCTTGGTCTCCATGTTCATCAGGTGGAGTCCCTTTGTGTTGACCCCGACATACACTCTGATGACTTTGTGGTTGCTGGCGCTGGCCTTGGTGTAGACCTGGCCAGTGAAGAAGGCGGCGCCGTAGGTTGGGATGTCCCAACAGTTTTGTAAAAAGAGTCTCTGCAGGTGGTGCATTTCTTTGCTCACTCCCTCACTGGTGCTCAGAGCCTAATTGAGATTATTGGGTTATAAATCAGATGCATCAAGGAAGGATGTCAGTTAAGTCTGACATGAAAGAAAAAAAAAAAAGCAAATATACTTTGTATTCATGAAGAATCCTGTTGGTCCAGTGGTATGCCTTGCTTTTCACCTTTGAGATTGGCACTATTGATTTCAGGTTTTCCTCACTGTTGGAGGTAAAACAATCTAATTAATCTCAGTTTTAACATTTTTTTCTGTAAATGTTGGAGGAACAGCATGTCATATTTAAGAAGATCTGAAAACTGTCTTACTTGAGGAAGCCTTGTTTATGCTTCTTGCTCTCATAGTTTCCATAGATGATCTGCAGGAGGAGGCTGGCCAAAGTTATCAGTTTACTGTCCGGAGCAGGAAAGTAGCCTTTCAGCAGGCAATGACGAGCCTCATCAAACAGGATGAGGATGGCAAGTGGATCTTCCACCTTATTTAAAAGAAAAAAAAAGTGGGATTCACCTTTTATGTCTCTCCACTTTTCTAACAAAGCAAAGGCTGCAAACAAAAGATTCCCTCAAACTTCTGCTGGTACCTTCTTCTCTATTTCAAGAGGCAGACGAACGTCCCTGCGAAGAAAGAGTTGAGGAGTCTCCCTTTGAGGATCTAACACCGTTAAGTCTGTCACAATCTCCGTCCAAATACGGAGATGCTGCAGAGGCTTGTGGTATGGCTTCAGCTGCAGGTCTGACAAACAAAACACACAAATCTTTCTGTTATCTGTTCATAAAAATACCTATGGATAAAAGCATTAGGTTACTTTTTTTAAGCAGGTTATCAAAGAGGGAAAAAAAAATTTTTTTTCTGAACTGAGCTATCACAAATGACACGACTTACGGAGGTTCTCTGAACAAATCCAAATGGTGAAGTACTGCTGGGTCTCCTGGGAGAGCCGCATGCCCTCCATTATCTGCTGCACAGTGGTGTTGTTGCCGTGCTTCAGCTCCACAGAGCGATAGGAGCCATCCATGCGGTAAATACGCACCTTCTCATACTGGGGGAGCACAAAAACAAAGCAGAACTTGACTTCTAGAACTGTGCTCAAAGACACAGCACCATCTAGTGGCAAATAACGTTACCTTTCCATTAGAAACAGGTTTCTAACAATAGAAACCCTGTAAATGTCTTCACAATTTATGACCCTACAAGCATATAATCATCATATTTTTGATGGCAGACAAAACAAAGTGCCTGAAAACTGAATTTTAAAGGAAAATTATGATTTAAGTTTTTATCCAGCTGTTCTGTGAAGTACTTAAGAGGTTTCCTAGTTAATAACATTCAAAACAAGAAGGTTTCAACCACAACACCACAGGGAAAAGAACAGAACTAAAAGGTCAGGGCTAATGTTATAAACAAGTTAAAGCAGAGTTGGCAAGTAGGCTCTAAAAATCTTACGCAGAGCTTTAGCCTGGCTAGCCAGACTGAACCAGGCACTGCGAATTAGTCTGATACACCTCGATTTTAAAAGGTAGGACTAACAGGGTCAGGTTAGGATCAATCGGGTCAGTTCGGATAGGATGTGCTCTGTTTTTGTAATTTTTTAATCCGTGAAACATGTCAGGCGGTCGAATAAACTCTCCAGTGAAAGATTTCTGACGGTTTTTCCTAAAAGAATCTGACGACATAAGGTGTGCTCTCTACAATGTTTTTAATTTTCATTGCAANAACATCTGTAAACAAAGGTATACAACTGTACTATACTATACAACTCTACTTATTTCCTTTGTTAGGACGAAAGAGTTTATAGTATCATACCTCTTCTACCTGATTTAGCAGTTGACATTGAGCTGTTACCATTGCTTTATCACTGTGCAAAATACAGAAGTAGCTGTCTTTGAGTGCAATATTTGGTAGGGTGTAATATGTGATGTGAAAAAGAAAAAAAATGAGTGAAAATAGTACAAGGTGGAAGACTGATAGAAAACGGCATGCTTTCCTAATAACGGGTAGCCCCGGTCTTCTGGTTAAAGTGAGAACAGTGTAGAAAAAGCAGTGGGTTTTTACCATATCAACATTCCAACCCAAGTCAATGTTTCTTCATTCAAAATTTCTAGCAACTGTTATTTCTTAGCATACACATTTACCATCAAAAACATCACATTTATTCTTAGGATTGTGTTTTAAAAAAACGTGTACACCAAGATTATGCTGTTGGAATTATAAATGACACATTTATTTTTTCCCAGTGTTCTATTGTCATTACACTGTCACAAGTACAGAGCAAGGAAATTTACTCTGTGTATTTAACCCATCCCCTTGGGGAGCAGTGTAGGGTTAAGGGTCTTTTGCTCAGGGAACCAGAGTGGCAGTTTGTGGAAGTGGGTTTCAAACCTGCAACCTTTGGATTCCAAGCCCTGTGCCCAAACCACTAGACCACCGCTCCCTGTTAACAGGTGGATCTGATAAGTGATAATGAAAACTGGGCGGAGCTAAGCGGGAGGATGAAATAAACCAATAATCCAGTCATCAGATCAGCCAAGATCATGACCAAACCTTCACTTTGAGAATCTGTTACAAAGATATTTTGCAAAAACTGCTTTAAGAAGAAAACTAAACACAAGATATTAGAAGTTTATACAGTTAAGCTGCTGAAGTAATGTTTCAGTAACAACGTTCTTATATAGAAGGCTGTCTATTCCTCAGAGTTTTCCTTCCGGTTCTTTTCCTGGAAGCAATCTATTTAGTTTAACTATGTTTCACCTAAGGATTGGTAAATCTATAAAAAGGTCAAAACAGAGAAATTGTAGCGAGGTCATCTCCTGCCTATATGTCATGAGTCTTTGTGTTGCATTAGGTGGATGCTTAGACACATCATCAAAACCCTGATGTTGTTCCCTTCTGCATCTATGCCTCAGACCCGGGGAACCTTGCAGAATAGAATCGTTAAGTCTTAATATAAAAAGTAAGACAAATAAAAAAATAAATAAAACATGAGTTGTATTGGGCTATATGCCTAACTCTATTTCCTGGACTTCAGCCAGCTCAATTTTTTCCCTTTCTTTCATTACTGAGCAGACTGATTAATCCAGGTGTGGCTGAACTCAGTAACCATGGCGACATTAGCCAGACACACCTGTATTAATCAATCTGTCCAGTAATAAAAGACAGGAAACAAAGGAGCTGGGTGAAGTACAGGTACTAGTGTAGTAGGGCATATAGCCCATGGTTTGTTTTAACAAGATAATGATCCAAAGCATAATGACCAAATTATTTTAGAAATTGTTCACAATGCCTTAAATGAAATCTTCTCACATCCGATACTAAAGTGGTACAAAATAGGAATAACATAGCTGCCAGTAATCTTCTTTAAAACAAAATGTATATATATCTATATATATAGATATATATATATATATATCTATATATATATATAGATTTATATATAGATTTTGGTCAGTAAAACTGATTCATAGAAATGTTCTATAGTCAGAGAAAACCTATTATGCAGACTAGTCGATCACTAATTCATGTGTCTTTCATGCATGTGTTTGTTAAAAGCTACAACTTTCAAAGTAATCAGATAGTCTACTCTTAAAACAAAACGTTAAAAACTGTATAGTTCAAGTGAGTACTCACAGACAAATCTATATATACTTGTTTATTAAAACAAACATTAAATAATAAAACTATTTACATAGATTCAAAATGCTGGACTCGTAACACACCAAGATAGGTTAGATTGCTGTCCATAAAAAAGGCCACTCTGGCGAGTCGAACTCTCCATCCAGGTGAGGATGGTCAGTGTAAGGGATGTGTTTGCAGGTTTTTGGCAGATTCAGTTTCTTGAAATGTCCTCAGCCGTAGGCATATTTATCCGTAGGACCTTTTTCAGTTGGAGTCATGTGTCCACTTAGTTTCATTAAAAGCTTCACAATAAGGCCAGCCTGGAAGCAAAATAAGAAACAACGAAGAATCACTGTAAAGGTAAGTTTTTCAACTTTGAAGATAATATTTCAGTTTAAAAAACAACAACAACAAACATCTGAAATTTGACTGGCATTTTTATTGAATGTAGTGATTCCCAGGAGTAGTTACCTGTTTTGTGTGCACAATGAAGTTCATCTTGTTGTCCCCACTGTGGATCTGGAAGTACTGGTCAGCATGCCCGAGCTGCCACATGAACGTGCCATACTCTAAACTGATGAGAAGGACCTGCAGCAGGGAACAAAGAATCAGAAACACAGTTCTGTGTAGCAGAGCAAGCAAACTGCAAAATCTGAAGGTGGCGACGACACCTTGGTCTCCATGTTCATCAGGTGGAGTCCCTTTGTGTTGACCCCGACATACACTCTGATGACTTTGTGGTTGCTGGCGCTGGCCTTGGTGTAGACCTGGCCAGTGAAGAAGGCGGCGCCGTAGGTTGGGATGTCCCAACAGTTTTGTAAAAAGAGTCTCTGCAGGTGGTGCATTTCTTTGCTCACTCCCTCACTGGTGCTCAGAGCCTAATTGAGATTATTGGGTTATAAATCAGATGCATAAAGGAGGGATGACAGTTAAGTCTGACATGAAAGAAAAAAAAAAAAGCAAATATACTTTGTATTCATGAAGAATCCTGTTGGTCCAGTGGTATGCCTTGCTTTTCACCTTTGAGATTGGCACTATTGATTTCAGGTTTTCCTCACTGTTGGAGGTAAAACAATCTAATTAATCTCAGTTTTAACATTTTTTTCTGTAAATGTTGGAGGAACAGCATGTCATATTTAAGAAGATCTGAAAACTGTCTTACTTGAGGAAGCCTTGTTTATGCTTCTTGCTCTCATAGTTTCCATAGATGATCTGCAGGAGGAGGCTGGCCAAAGTTATCAGTTTACTGTCCGGAGCAGGAAAGTAGCCTTTCAGCAGGCAATGACGAGCCTCATCAAACAGGATGAGGATGGCAAGTGGATCTTCCACCTTATTTAAAAGAAAAAAAAAGTGGGATTCACCTTTTATGTCTCTCCACTTTTCTAACAAAGCAAAGGCTGCAAACAAAAGATTCCCTCAAACTTCTGCTGGTACCTTCTTCTCTATTTCAAGAGGCAGACGAACGTCCCTGCGAAGAAAGAGTTGAGGAGTCTCCCTTTGAGGATCTAACACCGTTAAGTCTGTCACAATCTCCGTCCAAATACGGAGATGCTGCAGAGGCTTGTGGTATGGCTTCAGCTGCAGGTCTGACAAACAAAACACACAAATCTTTCTGTTATCTGTTCATAAAAATACCTATGGATAAAAGCATTAGGTTACTTTTTTTAAGCAGGTTATCAAAGAGGGAAAAAAAAATTTTTTTTCTGAACTGAGCTATCACAAATGACACGACTTACGGAGGTTCTCTGAACAAATCCAAATGGTGAAGTACTGCTGGGTCTCCTGGGAGAGCCGCATGCCCTCCATTATCTGCTGCACAGTGGTGTTGTTGCCGTGCTTCAGCTCCACAGAGCGATAGGAGCCATCCATGCGGTATATACGCACCTTCTCATACTGGGGGAGCACAAAAACAAAGCAGAACTTGACTTCTAGAACTGTGCTCAAAGACACAGCACCATCTAGTGGCAAATAACGTTACCTTTCCATTAGAAACAGGTTTCTAACAATAGAAACCCTGTAAATGTCTTCACAATTTATGACCCTACAAGCATATAATCATCATATTTTTGATGGCAGACAAAACAAAGTGCCTGAAAACTGAATTTTAAAGGAAAATTATGATTTAAGTTTTTATCCAGCTGTTCTGTGAAGTACTTAAGAGGTTTCCTAGTTAATAACATTCAAAACAAGAAGGTTTCAACCACAACACCACAGGGAAAAGAACAGAACTAAAAGGTCAGGGCTAATGTTATAAACAAGTTAAAGCAGAGTTGGCAAGTAGGCTCTAAAAATCTTACGCAGAGCTTTTGCCTGGCTAGCCAGACTGAACCAGGCACTGCGAATTAGTCCAATACACCTCGATTTTAAAAGGTAGGACTAACAGGGTCAGGTTAGGACCAATCGGGTCAGTTCGGATATGATGTGCTCTGTTTTTGTAATTTTGTAATCCGTGAAACATGTCAGGCGGTCGAATAAACTCTCCAGTGAAAGATTTCTGACGGTTTTTCCTAAAAGAATCTGACGACATAAGGTGTGCTCTCTACAATGTTTTTAATTTTCATTGCAATAATGTATGTGTTGCAATCAGCGAAGCTATTCTTATGTTACCATGTCAGTTATGACGAGGCTACGTTCAGCATTGTTTACGCAAATAATTTGACTATGTGGAAAGATGACAGCAGAAACAGCTGATCCATTGTGAGGAAAAGCTTGCTACATCAGAGCTGATCCGGAAAAAATAATGTTTTCTTCTCTTGGTTTGCGCATCAACCTTTTAAATGGAAAAGCCAAGAACCACCTTAAGCGAGGGTGCATTTTTTTTTAATGGAAAAAATTTTTACGAGTTCGTTCGAATTTTTTTGTTTCCATCAATCTTTTCTGATGCGATAATTCAAGATACATATAGGAAAGAGCCGATGGAAACGCAGCTTACAATCGACTACTTTGTATGAAAGTTAATCAAATGACATTACATGTTGGGGCAAAAGAGGAAGACGTTTAACAGACTGTTGGTTTAAAACTTATACATTCTTCATAAAAAATCTAAAACAGAAAAGCAGAGAGTGTGACTCACTGGTTTGCTGTTAGCTTGCTGCAGAAGTTTCATGGTCTCCTCCCATTCATTCTGTTTGTTTTCCTCACACACCTGCAGGGGGGATCTCTTCTGCTGGTCCTCTATGTGCTGAAGTCAGAAAAAAAAATCAGCATGAGAATGAATTTAGTTTATGACTTTGGTCAACAAAAAGAAGAAGAAACCGAAGTCAAATCCATAGCTGTGTTTTATACCCGATCGATCTCAGGGTGCTGCAGTAGGAGCTTCACTATCTCAGCATGGCCTCCTCTGGCTGCAAAGTGAAGAGGGGAGCTGAGCTGGCCATTCAGCAGGTTTGGATTACAGTTGCCTTTCTCCAGCAATATTTTTGTTGCTTCCACTTTGCCATGCCTAAAATAAATCAAATACATGTAAAATGTAAGCATGATTCACCTTAAAACACAACAAAGCTAGACGCTGGAAAACCTGACCTACCAGCAGGCGTAATGTATGGGAGACCAGTGATCACTGTCCAGCTGCTTGACGGAGAAACCGCTGTCCAGTAGCTTAGAAAGCAAGTCTGTGTCTCCCTCACAGGCGCTTCGGTGGAGAGGAAAGTCGTCCACCCACTGGTGCTCTCTGGACAAGGATAAATATGAAAAGAGCAGGTGAAACATAGGGAGGACAACTATTCAGCTTTGCTTTGGAAAGATAAATTTGATGGTGAATGTTGTAATGTAACAACTAAACCCTCACTTGTCTTCTGCTGCACAGTTTGGGCCATGCTGCCATTTATCCCTCTTAGGGATTTGGATCTTGGAATAGTCTGGTGCTCCAAGACCAAAGTAAGGGTTAATAATAACTTTATCGACCTAGAAGAAGACAGGAATTGTTTATATGTACATACATATTTAAATCACTGACAGACTGTGGTTTAAAGAGATCTCTAACCCGGTTAGTGTACTGAAGATCTGAGCCAAACAGAGGATTCAGGATGCACATTTCCGCCTTCTCCAGGGACATCATCTTACTCTTGATCTCCAGAGCGGTGTACCCCATGTGTAGACCCTCGTCACTCAGCTTACCCTCGCTGCTGTAAGCGGGGTTGTTCACATTGGTCTTGACTCGCTCAACAGGAGCTGGCCTGAACAGGGCGGGGATGGCGTGAGGGACTGTGTGCTGCTCTGCTAACCATCTGTGGAGGTAAGGAAGGAAAGGCTCTAGACAGCTTTGCCCAGAAATACATCCCAGCTTAAAAATGTAGATGACACAGTGGTATCCTCACTTATCTAAAGCCAGGAGCATCTTGGAAGTGATGGAGCAGAAGTGAGGACTGGTTTCACTGCAGACACGCATGATGTCCTGGAAACAGTAAAAGCTGGGGCTCCCGGAGTTGTGGGTGGATTTGCTGTTATCTGTGCAGATAGACTGATTAGCAGAACAGCAACTAATACAGCATCATCCAGAGGTAATAACGACAGATCTATCTTATATCTGACCAAACCGGAAATCTTTGAATTTCATGAAAATGCTATAGGTGATTAGAACATTTGAATAAAACAACATAAATCTGCATGGTGATGGATGTACCATGTTGAGGTGATGCTTTTCTTTGGTTACACCAGTAGGCTGGTTGGAACTGAGGACGGTTAGAGCTAAAAATAAAATCTTTTAGAAGCTACAAGCCTATTGATGCATCAAGAGCTACAAAGGAATGGTTTTAAGATCTTAAGAATCTGATCAAATCCAATCAGGAAATATATAAATTCACTCTGTGCAGAAGTGGCTCTCTAGATGAGGAAATCTGGTAGGAAAATAACCCAAAGTAGCTGTAACTAATGTGAGATCGCCTCTCAATTAATCCAGGATACTTGTCAGCAACTGACCAATCATCCTTAACTGAAAAGCCTCTAACCTGCAGGAGCAGCAGCTTCTCTCTGTACAATAACATTGGATTTTATATCATGAATTGCATTCAAATGATACCTAATAAATGACTAAATATTGTCAGTGGGAAAAACACAGTGCAGACATGCATTACCCAACGCTTCTTAATAAAAAAATAAAAAAGTGATAGTGCACTTGCCTTCTAATTTAAGTCTGTTTTAGTTGACATGACTGAGAATTTAAATCGACAAAAACAACATGGTCTGTGTGACAATATCTTATTTAAATGTATTAAAATTAAGCAGTTTACAGTATTTTTACTGTGTTCTATTTACATTGACATAAAGTGTTGTTACAACTAATTGTGGATCCTTTTAAATAGATGCATTTAAATATACATTTGAATATCTCACTATGTTTTTATTTTCTGATTGCCTCTGCACAGCACATGCACAAGCCCAAATTCACCCCTCAAATTCATTGGGAGGATTAGGGCTGCTTCTATAAAGACCCTGAATTCTATTAGGCTACTTCAAATTTAACGAGACAAGACAACTTTTCCTGGTTTTCTTTTACTCCAAGGTCAATATTTTCCCTGGAAAAGGTGGAAGTGGCTTGCAATTTGTTTGCTGCTCCACGGATGAGAAACTTCAGCCTTTATCACCCTAGTTTTGATTCATAATCTCTAAAACGTTAATAAGGTAGCGTTACTTGTTTTAGTCAGTGGGAGGAGCTAATAGGGATCCTAGAAATATTTCAGACCAAGGGGATGGGTCAAAATGCAGAGGTGAATTTCTCCAGTGTGAGATTAATAAAGTTCAACTGATTAATAAAGGCTAGAGTTTTTTTACACATTTTGTGGTTAACATATTGCAACACAGTTTTTTCCACACTTTCCAATGAAAATAAATTGAACTTAAGAGTTATAACAATAATCAACATCAGTAATTAACAGAAACTGTCAGTGTTTATATGACGGTGACAAACAAATCATTGTTTTTATGTCATAATTACATATTTTACTAGGTTTAGCTTGGGAAAATATTGCTTTGCCATATTAATCATGATGCATGTGGTAATATGAAATATGTATTTTGCTTAATTTTAATTTAATTTAATTTAATACTTGTTTGTTGCTTAGTTTTAACTTAATTTAACTACATACTTTTTTGCCCTGTAAGCTGCTGGTAACCTTAATTTCCGGAGGGAGTCTTCCCAAGGGATCAACAAAGTACTGTCTAAGTCTAATAAACTTTATTAAAGGTAATGTGCTGCCTTTAATAAAAACGCTTTATGGATTTTCACCTCGTAAAATAACTATATTCACTCACCCATTTTTGCAACTGCAAAGGGCCTCAGGAAGAGCTTCTACATTCAAAGGACTCCGCTGTCTTTGGAAATGCTTTGGGTATAATGATTTGTTCCCTGCCCCTTGAAATAGCTTTACTGTCTTAATGTAGAAATCAATCTAGCCTGCAGTCCTTGCTTTAAGGTGTAATGATCAAGCAAAATGCTTCCAAAAACACTGTGCTTCACTATGTCACCTGTAAAACTATCCTGTATCTGTCAGAGCTTTGTTCATTCTTGCTCGCCTTTTCCGTGTAAGCAGAGCAAACTTACAGATAGCTTTTCAATTGCAATTAAAAGGTTGAGCTACACTAAAAGGTTGTGCTGGGCTTTTACACTCTGGATGATTACACAGAACATTGGGGATGTAACTAAGACAGCAAAGGAAAAAACATTTCAAGCTCACCTCTAACACTGACTGGCACCACAAAAAGAGAGGCTTCTTTCCCTTCATTGTCAGCTTCAAGACTAAATTTCTTCATATGCACCACACGCTTTCCTGCAAAGCAAAACACAACTGAGGTGATCTTGGGTTGCATCAGACCATGTGTTTGGTGCAAACCTGTCTGAATCTCACCTATGAAGCTTTGGTTATTACAAATTGGTTTTATGGTTTCATCAACATAATCCAATATGGATTTAGATTTGTCTCCTGGCTTAATCTTTGTCACCAGAAGGACTTTCTTTCGCTTCTTCTCCTTCCCCTCCAAAGGCACTTCTTTCAACAGGATCTTCACAGGAGCCAAAAAAATAAAAAATAACAATTAAAAATTTTGCACTTAATAAGGCTGCTCTCATTAAACAAACCCTACAGATATGTAATTATCTGTCAAGCAGCATCTAATTTATCTTTTAATAAAAGAACAGTATTGCTCAAGTTCTCTGCATACCTCATAAGCTTTAGCCCTGTACTCCTTAGAAGTCAGGCTGACTTGATTCTTTGGGCGAATGACGGCAACATACACTTCTTCAGAGCCGTCGTCGTTGCCCATTGTGCCCCTTTTTCTCTTAGGCGCAGGTTAACGTCCAACATGGAGGCCAAATACTGTGGAGAGGCATGTCTGAAAGAAGAGAAAGCATCAAAACTGTGCAGGGATCTTATTTAGGACAGGAAATGTTCCTTTATGCAAATTCCATACACAAAATTGGAAGTACCAATTACTATATTTCCCACTTTTTGTCAACTAATGATGTTGTGACAATATTTACATGACAGATGTAGACATTCTTACCACAAGTAGATGCTGAAATTACCCTATATACATTTATATCAAGTAATAAACATATTTGATCGTAACTCTGACCAAAATATGGTTTCTATGTTCTTAAGAATTATTTTTGAACGAATGCAAATACCCCAATGAATATTTGGTTTACTGAAAGACTATATTTTTCTATTACATTTCATAACATTTCCACTTTTCTTATTATCTGAATGCAAGATTTGCCAACAGTTACTTTTATTTGTTGTATTTTTTATTTTTTTTTGTGCTCTTGTTTTTAACATCACATGGAAGAAAAAAATCTTTATCAGGTTAAAATAGAGAAAAATATTCGCTTTTTTTTAAAGCAGGTTTACCTATACTAAATTGACTAGTACAGAATTTTAACATGTGGGTAAATAACATGAGGCTCTAACAGTTAATATGACTCTTATTTGCACTCAGAAACAACAATATTATTCCTAAAGTTTGTATGAAAGTTAAAAAAAAATGGTTTAGACTCCTGCCATCTTAGTTGCTGCTCTTTGATGCAATTTCCCAGCAATGAGTTTTAAAGGGGTTGCTTCTTTTACATGATTTACTACATGATTATTGCTGACACAGTCAATATGACGTTAATATAATTTTTTTTATTTTATAGCTATTTTCTGACATGTGAAGATCAACACAGGTTTGCTTTGCTTGATTCACATTGTTTCTTGTCTTCTCCATATAATAAAAGTAAGGCTGAAACAAGGAATCGGATTAATCATGATTAATCGATTATTGAAATAACCGTCACCTAATTTAGTAATCAATTGATTAATCGTGAACTGGAGAATAGAGACTCCAGAGCAACCCAATTAGAGCAGTAACTATACCAAAATGTTAATTTAAGATGATAAAACCTTTTTTTCTGGCAATATGTTCTATCCAGAACACTTCAAATGGAAAGGTTTTAGTTTAATTTTGTTAAAAAAAACTTCAAGTAATCTTTTGCTATCCAATTATTAATCGATTAATCAAGTAAATAATCAACAGATTAATCGATTTGCAAAATAGTAGTTAGTTGCAGCCCTAAATAATACTATAAATAAAGAAATAAATAAAGTGCCTATGTGTTGTGTCATGTCATTGGGATTGAATCCTAGTCAGGGTTCTCTATAAGTGGTTCAGCTTTTTCCAAAATTATGAATGGTTGGATTATTTATATTACTGGTATGTCAGGGTGTTTACATGAATATTTGTTTGTCCTTCGTGTCTCTGTATTGCCCTGTTAAGGACCAGTTATTTCCCATTGCATGCTTAGCCCTTTATACAATAAAACAGCTGGTTAAATAAAGTGCAACCAGCCTTTTAATCAATGGCGTAACGACTCAACAATAGGCCTGTAAGCAACATTATCTGGGTGGGCCCCATAGGAAGTACAACACCCCTTTGCTTTTTCTTTTCTGGAATCCGCTTATGTACCTCTTTTTGGTATCCATCGTCGCTAACACGTTGTACGTAACGGTTATGATTTTAATCTACGCTCTGGATTACCCATAATTCCAAGTCCTATTGTAAAAAATGAAATACTCAAATACATCCTTCTTTTAAGATCTTTATTGCAGTTTAAAACATATGATATGAGTGTATTTTTTTTACTAACCGTCTAATGAATTATACACAGTTATGAACATATAAATTAAAAGTACCACTGTCTGCTTTGCTATTGGTGTTGTGTTTAAACGGCTCACCATCATGTTGAAATCTGCCATGTGTTGCTGTATAAATAAGGTCTGGTCAGTCAAACTAGTATCAGGTGGGTTTAACATGAATTTTTCGCACCATTGCATCTGTAAAGAGATGTCCTAGTCCACAATTTTGTAGGGGCCCAACCAGGTGTCAGTAATGGGGCCCCTAAGCAACTGCAGTCTCTGCCTTTCGATAGTTACGCCATTGCTTTTAATGCAGCATTACTTGCTCTGTCACATCAAAACTGAAACCAGATATGTTGAAGTATATATATATATATATATATATATATATATATGTGTGTGTGTGTGTGTTTGAAAATTGTAAAGGTTTATTAAATAGACATATAAATTTGGTTCCAAAATTAATAAAGAGGAACTTTTCTCTTTGATGAACTTTCAGGAAATCATAAGAACCATTATATATGAGGGGACCTTGCAAGAAGTTTTGCAGTTTTTTTTTTCTTCTTGATAAATAAACATGTAAGAACGAAACGGCTTGAGCTATGACCTCACAATTTTACTTTAAAATAGATTCAAAGTAAATTCATGAATAAGATGGGGTTAAATGTAGTAAACAAGACATTGATGAGGTTTTTAGCCTCAATTTAAATTTGGTCTTGTTGATAATTGACTTAAATCTACCTCTTGCATATCTTAAACCCATTTTCCCTGTATACTTTTCAGGCTTTAAATATTTAATGATGCATTAACACGCAGGAGACAGCAAAATAAGAAACCACATCACCAACTGCTATGAAACGACTTGAGTTCAAAGGAAGGTCACGCCCCGGAAACCAGACTGTTAACTTTAAACACTTCTTTTTACATAAAAGGTTCAATACCTGTATTTTATTCGTGAACATATACTGCACTCCCAGATGCAAAGTGTTTATATATATATATATATATTATCATAAGCCCATGAGCTTTTCTTTAGGCAGGAGCGGTACCCTCTTCTTCCCCGGTTTTCCGCTCTATAATCAGCTGAAACTTACCGAATCCACCGAGGCTGCTCCCAAAACGGATTCCGCTTCCCTTCTTAGCTCTCCGGCGCCTTTTAAATGTTTTGGCAACGGGTCAAGGGCCAGGAAGCTGCTCCTGGTTACCAACCGGAGAAAGAGGAGTTTTTGGGGAGCTTCAAGCAGTGGTAGGCCTATTTTAGTCAGGGCAGGGTTGCAGACACAAACAGAGGAATCACGTTACGTTTCATTGAGGAGGCGTAACAGTTGCTCAATGGGTACCTCTGGTGGTGAGGTGGAGACGGTGCAACAGAATGAGCCACAAATGGCCTTTATTAATTTATTTTTTTTTATTTTGTACCTCAAAACTATGGAAACACGAAATATTAATAATTACATAATTAAAAAACAAAACTATGAAATTATGCTTTAATTAATAACGAGCACGTATATAATATGGCCATGAAATGGTAAAATAATGCACCTTTAAGAGCTCTCGAACATCACGAAAAAACGATGCTCTGTCTGGTCATTCAACGCCTCTTACTATATTCGACGGCGTTCAATGTCCTGAGAAAACGTAGTTATTTTCGGTACTTTGTGACATTTAATGCGCTGTCTAAAGCGCGGTTTTCTAAAATTAAGCAGGGCCCTGCCCACATTTTTCTAATCCATTGAATTTGAACTCCAGGCACCGTATCAGAAAGGTAGAAATGCAGGCCTCACTAATTCATAACAGATCAAATTGCTGAGAAGAGATCTGATGTGGGATTTTATATATTCTCCACCCCCCACTGTTGGCGTTTGCTTCTGTGTGCATTATAATTTATTTAAAGTCAAAATTAGAAAAAAAACAAAAAAAAAAAAACACATGACGTGAAACAGGTGAAACCGATATGTAGTCAGAGTCGTATCTGCAATACTTTATTCCTCCACCAGATGGCACTTTCAAATTTATTTATTTATATATAAGTATTTTTTTTATATATATATACAAAAATACTATACTTTAAAAATGCTCAGTCTTTTATTTTAAAAGTATATTTATTGAAAGTAATCATAATGAAATATTTAGAAGCATGAAATTTGCCTTTTCTAACTGGAGTCTTGAAATGCAGTCTTGTCCTAGTAAAGAGTATTTCTTATGCAATGATTTGAATGATTTTCCTTACTGGAAATATTTTCAAGTAAGTAAATGTATTTTGCATGCAACGGAAAAAGTCATGGAGCACTGATTTGGTTAGCTATTTAGCGATGTACAGTACTAAAATGGGAAGAAACAGGCATATATTTCTCTATGCTTCATACTGCTGGAGAAAACTGTTCACTGCAGTGAAAAGTGAAGAGCAACTGCTGCTGTCATTCAAAAGAAAAGAATAAAAGAAACGATGTACTGGATGAATCTCAAGATAAGCCTTGAGAAAATTAACTAAAACAGTATCAAGAGCCTATATGTGTTCATCACATGGGATCATTGCTGCACACAGTCCAATTTAGGACAATTGTTTACAGAAAAATGTGTGATTCAGATGTTCGTGTGTTTAAATTGAATTCCAACGTAATAAGAAAGGCTTTAAATTTCCTTTTGATTTTAAAAACATAAAGAGTGTTCCCACTTAAAAATAGTGTGCACACACTTACAGAAACTTACAAAATAAACTGGTTTACTTCCTGTTTTTTTGTGCCTGCTGTTTACCCTAAACGTTTGATGGTTGTCTAGTAACTGTGCAAACCTAGCTATTTTTTGCTTGTGTCTGTGGTCTTGTTTTTAACCTACAATGTGGCGGGAGTATTTTGTAAAATATCTTACATGCGGGGACTTACATGTACATACAGGGACATTCAACTGGTCCCCATATGGTAAAGTTCTGTTCTTTGAGTTGGGGTTAGGTTTAGGACTAAGGTGTGAATTTAGTTTAGGTTAGGTATATGCTGGTAATGTTAACAGGTATATGTTGGTAATGCTAACAGATGTTAGGTACATGTTGGATTAGGGTAAGGGTCTGGGTTAGGCCATATACCGTAATATGAATGCAAATCACTGAAATGTCCCCATATGTCATGAAAACAAAGCTGTAAATGTGCGTGTTGGGGGCGGGGGGGGTATGACCTGCCCCCAGGGCCATAAATCAGTAACTTCCACATGCACATATTAAATTAAACTCCAATAGTATGTATGAAAGCTTTTCAGTAGTGTATATGGAAGCTTTTTAGTAGTATGTATGGAAGGTAAAGCTTTTCACCAGTTTATATGAACAGTTCTCACTACTCTGGATGAGAGCTTTTGATTGGTTATATAAGATCTAAGATATACATTTTTTCACTAGTTTATGGGAGAGCTTTTCACTAGTGTTTATGCACGTTTTTCAGTATATTATACGGAAGAGTTGAATTTAATATGTGTATATGGAAGTTAATTCTGATTTATGTCCCTGGGGGCACCTCGCAGTGGGGTAGCTCCTGAGGTGTTAAAAAAAATTTAAAGAATGAAATTAATCCTAAGTAGAGAATTATGGCAACTACGGTATCTTATTTTTCTTATTTTCTTTATCTGCCATGATTTTTGTACAGAACATTTGCTATGTTAAGGGCACTTGGTGAACATTAAAGTTTATTTTAGCTAAGTTTTTCTTGCTGGAAAGGGATCATTTTCAACAGTAACTACTCATGGAAGCCAGAAAGATTCATAAATAAAAATACGAAATAACATTTTAATAAATAAAAGCACATAATATGATTATGAAATGGTAAAATAAGGGTATATTATCAAGAAATGCTGTCTACTTTTATTCAATAAGTACTTATATTTTATAATTATTGACCATGTTTATCATAATTTAGGCAACTTAGTGCTGAACGGTTGCCTGTGCAGATGGTCTAGCTATATGGTCAACTAATACCAGCTTATTACACTCTCAATGTTAGTCTATGCATAGTAGAAAGGCAAGCATTTGGAGACACTAATCAATAAATATTAAACATCTAAATTAATAAATGTTGTATTTTTAGTTTTAAAAGATTATTCTTATTCATCATATTATTATATGTCCAGGAACACTGTGAAAGCTTGTTTTTATTCTATATGGGATTGTCCTACAGGTCCAGCTTATTTCAACATCTTAAAACCTCACATACCTAAGAACAGTTTAGATGTCAGCTATGACGTACACACCCACATAAAAAGATTAACTCTTAAAAAAGAAGTTGGACCTTACATTAACTCATGACAGTATCCTTGTATTGCTGCATTCTTCTAGCCTACCATCACATGTTCAACAGCAACAAAAAATATCGAGAGCATGAGTCATGTTTTGGTTCCTCCCGTATTCTGAAACCAGTTTTTATTTAGCTATATTCAATAGATGGATTAGGAGTCACTCCTCAGGAAAAGTTGTTTTTATACAACATATGGACCAATGCCTTTAAGTTGTATCAGCTCTTTGTTAAAAAAAGGAAGAGTGGTTTTAGGGTGTGCATTCTGCAGATCCTTTTTGGATTAAGTTTTTCAGATACCTTCTACACACTAACGGCTATTTTCAGTCTCCTGTGTGTGATGTACAAATGTTATGGTGGGAAAAAAGTTGAAAATACAGAACCACTCATATCGTACCTTATTCATTAAATCAGACAGAATTTATAAAACTTCAGCATTTATTGAAACGTGACACAACAGCATACAGTTATATTGGTTGTTTACATGATAAAAATGCAGTCAATACCCTAACTACACATGTGTACACATCTAATATGGCTTTGGTTTTTATATTTATGAGTATAGATTTTTTTTTTTTAATATTACATGATTTATATTTTTTCCCACTGAGATTACAGACTCCCCTCTTTGACCCCAAAAACATCCTTTCTATCTTAAGAGTTTGTTAGAGATGACTTATTTTTTACACCGACTGAGGACATCCTCCATCTTCTCCTGGATTTCTTGCACCCTCACGGTCCACTTGTCACGCACTTCGTCTTCATCATCCTCAGTAACAGCATAGTAGCCCATCAGCGAGATGAGGCCAATGTGGAAGAGGTGTGCGATATGAGAGCAGCAGCGCTCCATGATCTGATGGTCTCCTTCACAGCTGTCCAAGTACACATCCAGCAGAGGTCTTCCAAACAATGTTTTTGTCCCCAACACACCGCGGTAGAACACATCTAGACTCATATCTGACTTGTCCCTCTCATAAATCTTTTCAAAGTCCTCCATGTACTTCTGACTGTTGTCCGGATCTTTCTTCACTCGTGCCACCATTTCGTTGAAGGCCTCGTACTGGTGCTTGATGTAGTTCTCGTACTTGCCATAGGTTTCGTTCACCTCATCAGTGCGGATCTTCTTGAGACATTGCTTGTTCTTCTCGGAGATGGTCTCTAGTTGGGCGTGGATTTCTTTGAAATCCTTGTCCAGGGCATGGCTCTCCTCTTTCATCAGGCCCTTTCTGGCCACACCAACCAGAGAGGAGACGACTCCAAACATGGGGTCGATGGAGGAAGCAAAGGAGGACACCTTCTCCACACAGCACAGCACTTTGACTGTGGTTTTCTTGATTTGTTCAGCACTGGCCATAACTGCAAGGCTGATTTACTCTGGAAGGGGTATAAATTGAAGGAAAAAAATTAATAAATTATACAATGTTTTACCAAATCAATAAGTAAATTCTCAGTGCTGCATGTCATTTGAGGTCTCTTTTACTGTTTTCTGAAAACTGAGACAATTTCTTAAGGATTATGGAAACAAAATAATATGCAATATGGGAATTTTAAACGCAAACCAACTTCCCCATTAGGAGTTCAGAGATTTTTCTAATAGTCCATTCTTCCTATATACATTTTAATACTTCCAAATAAGAAGTATAGAATTTGCTTTTATAATTTCATGCCAGTATGAAACAATAAAAGCTGTTTTCCACTTCTAGTTTCTCAAAATCCCCAAAAAATATTATGACATCCATTAAGTCATTGGAAACGTTTTCATATCCATTTAATATTTTGTATTAATTATCTTTATTATGAAAAACAACCTTTTCTCTTCAAGACAGAATATTATCCGTCAATGCTTTATTAATTTAATATTCTACAGTAGTAAACATTTACTTTTTGATAGTGTTATTTATATTTACATAATTTTTACCTGCGTAAGCAGCAGAATATTTGTCAAATATGTTTTTTTTTAAGAAATTAGAGATACATTATCCTAAAATTTAAGCTATACAAAAATGTAATCACTTGCTTCATTTGCCCCTTAGTTGCTTTTTAAGGTCAAAACAATTTAACTAACTTAATTTTGGAAACATACCTGCTAATACCTTACCAGGCATCCCTATAAATAGTAGTCTTTTTTTTTTTTTTTAAAGCAATCTAATAATCTTTTTATACCGATGAAATAGTAAGCAGTCTGGAAGAACTACTTGAGTTGCATTGGATGTCATAGCTGAGACATTAATCACCCCTCTCAGTGTAGTTCTGCTGGAAAAACTCAGTAACAACAGTAGGTCTGTCTTCATCTCTAGTACTACAAGAAAAACAAGAAAAGTGCGAGCAGGTTATGACCTTCTTCGAAACATCTCCAAACAGCCTCAGGTAGCCGTTGTAATGTAAACCTCTGGATGCGTTTGTTCTCCAGCTCTCATTTCCTGATCTCCAGCTGCTTAATATGACCAACGCCTCGTGCCGCTATCAGCCCCCTGTCGGCTTTAGCTCCAGCACAAAGGTCCTAAAACCCTTCAGAGTAGAGATAATAAACCACAAAGGCCCGTCATGTTTACTTACCAGAGATAAAATTGTTTGTATCCCGCCCGTCTACAGTGGCCTTCTGACGATCTTTTCCACCATTTTTTAACACCAGTTAGCTAAGGCCCGCCCATCGTAACCAAATTAGGATGTAGAAACCAGGAAGTGAGCAGGGGCTTCTCTGTGCTGATTGGATAAGGAGAGAGCCTGGTGCTGATTGGATAAGGAGACTTCCTGCGTAGGAATCTTTGGAACTAATTCAGTTTATCTCATCCTTTTTTTGTAAATTGAAAATAAAGAATATCAATGACAATGTCAAACAATACGTCAATAATGAACATTACAAGAAAAGAATAAGATCACAACTCCTATTAACTGCAATAGAAATGTAAGGTTAGAACAAGGAATGAAAAAAAAACAACAACTAATAATTAAATTATCAAGAAAAGGGAACTAACTGAAATTCTTCCATTAAATCAGACAATTTAATTAATATAAGGATCTGCATCTTTTTCAGACATCGGTAAAGTTCGTTTTTGAGAGCAGATAATGAGAGATTAGAATAGATTAGATTAGATTAGATGCAAATTTATTGTCATTACACAGGTACAGGTACGAGGCAACAAAATGCAGTTTAGGTCTAACCAGAAGTGCAATAGCAGCAGGATAAATAATGGTTCTATAAGTACAGGACATGGGTTTCTACTGAATAAGTTTAGAGGTGAATATCATTATAAACAGAATCTTACTAATAGATGAATATGATATATAGATAACTAGTGTTATGAACTAAATTTACAGCTGGATAATTACCAAATATAATATATAGGTGGATATTACTATAAAAAGGGTTTTTACAGTTATGTACAATAGCATATATACAGATGGGTTTTACTATTAAATGAATAAATAAAGTTTGGACAGAAACTATCTAAATTAAAGAGCAGTGGAAGGTAATTGCATATTACAATTAAAGTACGCTATTGCAAATGTAAATGTAAACAATGAGAGGGAGCATTTTGCATAACGACATTTATGGATATAATATTTGGCTATAATCATCAAAGCATTAACTAAGAATTCCAGATTTTTTTCATTGATATATAAACCAAACTAAATTATTTGTAAGGAATTAAAGTCCACATTTATAGATCTAGAAGATAAAAAGATTTGAAGTTGATCCCATGGGATTCTTACTTCTTTACATTCATAAAACAAATGATTAGTAGTTTCCAATTGAGTTGTACAGAAACCACAATTACCAACATTGAATTTAAATCTCTCTCTTAAGTACCCATTTGAAGGATGTTTGTCATTTATTATTTTAAATTGTAATTCTTTATATTTAGGAGGAATTGGGAATTTCAAATAATTTGTCCTAATTTTGGTTATCATAGATTTCTTAAAATGTTGTAAGAGAAGTGTACGTTTTGTTCAACCAGGGTACATATTATGTATAGAATATTGATTTAAGAACCTATTAGTGCATTTATTGTCTCTAATGTCTGAATGCTCAATTTGAAGCTTATGGAGTCTTGGAATAGAGAAATGAGATATACTGTTTTTAACTAACTTAAGAAGAACATTAGGTATACTACGTAAAACTTTATTGTAACTTGTTAATGAACAATCAGTTCCATGAACCCTGTTAAAATCCTCCAAACTTAAAATATCACCATTTCCATCCATTAACTGAGAAATTGACCAGCTTTGTTTATTCCACCAATGCTTTATAAATATAGATCTTCTACCACATAGAATGGCTCTGTTGTTCCACAGTGGGACATTATGAGGGCTGAAGCTGTGCTTGAAAATTAACTTCCACTGTAACAAAACCTGTTGATGGAAATGTGAGAGTTGTAGGGGGAGTTTAGATAATATGAAATCACATTTTAGAAGCAACTCAATACCACCCACACTTTGAAACACAAACAACGGTATAATAAACCAAATGAGATCACCAAGACTGAAGCCATCTTATTTTTAAAGTACCATTCATAATTTAAAAATCAATTGCTTTAATGCCACCTTCTTCGTAATTGTTTAGCAAATCACTTTTTCTAATGTAATGGTGTTTGTTTTTCCAGATAAAATAAAAATTTATTCTGTTAATCTGTTTTATGAGATTTGGAGGGACGGCTAAGGAATAAGCAGGAAACGTCAACCTGGATAAGGATTCAGTTTTTGTTAATAATGTTCTGCCAAACAACATCAGGTCTCTCTGAAGCCAATTATTCAAGGTTTTGCCACATTTATCAATGTTTTCTTTTAAACTTTTCTTACGCTGGTAGCTTTACATTTAGTAATCCACATTACTAAGTACTTAATTTCAGTTTTAACTGGAATATTGGAAATTGAAGAATCACAATAATTACTAATACTCATAACTTCACATTTATTTATATTAAGCTGCAGCCCTGAGGCTTGCAAAAACAACTCTATTTCCTTTAGCTAGAGGAATTTGTTCTTTATTTTTTAAGAAGAGTGTTGTATCATCTGCAAATCGAATAATTAGTATTTATTGGTTATTTATTTTCAGACATTTAATATTAGAGTTTTTGATTACTATGGCAAGTAATTCTGTAACTATAATAAATAAGAGTGGTGAGATACTACAACCTTGTCTGATTCCTCTTTCTACATTGAATCTGGGACATGTGCCCTGTGCCAAAGACACACAGCTGTTAATATTGGTGTTTAACATAGTAATCATATTAAGAAAAATATTACCAAATCAAAAGTGTCTCAGCGTTTTAAAAATAAAATTATGTTCCACCGAATCAAATGCTTTTTAGAAATCTAAAAAGTTTATCTCATACTCATACATAATCCTGATCACCATATTCTAAGGAAATTGTAGGTAGGAGAAATGAAACCACAGCCAGAAACCTACCTGGTAACCTTTTAACAACAACCCCTCCTAAAATTCTTCTCATATTTAAGTCTCCATACTTTCATTTTATTTCCAATCGGAAAACCAAGGCGATGCTATTTTTAAAAATGAGATTAATCAGAATCAGAATCTGAGCATTATAATAAGACTTTATAATAAGACATTATAAGACTGTTTATCAAAAGTTAAAGGTATCCTTATTTTATCAAGTTGCTGTCAACAGTCCAATGGATGGATCATTTATACTTCCATTGGCTATAACAAGCATGGACAGTCAATTATATTTATTAAGTGGGCCTTATTAGATTAAATTCAAAACAATACAACATTACATCCAAAATATAATAATAAAAACAAAAAACAAATAAATACCATTATTATATGTTGTGAAATACGGTTAGTAACTGTGAAAATACACAGAACAAAAACAAATGTTTGTATTTTTTCCCCCCAGCTTTTATTGTCATTTCGCTGTCACAAGTACAGAGCAACGAAATGAACTCTCTGCATTTAAACCATCCCCTTGGGGAGCAGAGGGCTGCCATTGTGCGGAGCCTGGGGAGCAGTGTGGGGTAAAGGGTCCTGCTCAGGGACCCAAAGTGTCATTCTGTGGGAGTGGGGCTCGACATTAGAACCTCAGAATTCCAAGCTCTATGCCCTAACCGCTACGCCACCACTCCCCTGTAAATGTGACTAAAACAGGCAAATATATCAGTTTCTTAAAATAAGAGGGTTTTTTTCTTAGTTTGTATGAAATTATAGCATATTAAAAACAAATAAATAAAATGATTTTCACACAAAGGTTTTGGATCACTGCATTGACAGTGTTCTAAAAAGATGTGTAGGCTCCCTAGACTGAGAGCTCTTTTAAAAATGCTGGAAACATACCTTTAAGGACTTTTATTGCATAGACTCTTCTTACTGACATGAAAAAAAAAATCTTAGTTGTTAAACTATACATGGTTTGTAAATCATAATATCTTTGTCTTTTTTAATATTTTCCTCATTCGTATAATCACCACATGCTTGTAAAAGCTGTAAATGTTCTTGGTAAGGTAAAACTCCTGCTAGTCCAACTTTGAAAACTTTGTGCCTGACAGAAAATATATTAAAACCGATCATTATTCAACTTACATATTTTTTTTTTTTACAAGAATTTTAGAAGATTTGTTTGTTTTAATTTTGTTTTTCTAAAAGACCACCAACACTATTATGTCTTTCCCTATGATTTGTGATGGAGATTCCCTTAAATGGAAGAAAAATGAGATAAACTGCTATACTAACTGAATTGTTTAACTGCCTATTTGACATATTTTCTGTCACCTGATGGAAATCAAACTTGTTTTTTTTTTCATAATGGCTAATGTTTTATGTGGAGAGAAAAAATAGATACTTGAAAACCAGACTAAATCACTTAACGGTATTGCAAGGTTTGCAATATGAGCAGGGAATGGTGCAACTAGAAAGACAAGGTGACATTTTGAGGAAAAGCATTGAAACCATATTAATGATAAACACCCCTTTATGCCATCAAATTAACTATTAAGTGGCTAAATGATAAGAACAGCCACGTTTTGGGAAGTTGTTTCAAAGCTCCAATCTTAATCCCAAAGAATATTTCTGGATAGAGCTGAAAAAGTGAATGTGTGTAACCAGGACTAAATACGTGACTCATGTACATTAGCTTTGTACAGAAGATAGACTTGCTAAATGTCTTTTTTTATTAAGTATTGAGAAATACATAAAAAAAATAGGATTTTTCCATTTTTTGTGAGGAATTTTCCTCAATTAAAGACAAAAATCTACTTTTTTTTTTTTCTTGCAAAGTCTTGAGAACTGGAATGTGCTTTTAGTTTCATAAAAGCAAAAACACTCACGCTTAATTAAGCTTGATGAATACATGTTTCTATAATAGATTGCATTACATTGAAACTGTTCTTAATCTGATTTGTATCTAATATTTTTGAACTCTGTACTTTGATATCAGGTTGTGCTGCCCTGATGTTGTTTTTATTAACTATATAATGTTGTAGAAACCAGGAAGTGAATCTTTGCTGTCCTGTGCTGATTGAATGAGGAAGACTTCAGTCATATGTGTCACAGGAGCTCCAAAGAAATTCATTAGTCCCTCTTCAATGACTCATGTTAGTTGTAGTTTTACTCATTCACATACATAAAATAGGTGAGCAGATACTAAAGAAATGTTTGGTTCAAGAGCTTATTAAGATTCCTTTCATACTTAAGTCTGCATACCATCGTTTTAGTTTCTATGAAAGCAACACTGTTCCATCATGCTAAATGTTCGATTCAAAGGAATTTATTTAAGAGAATAAGGATCACAATCGGTTTACCAAATTCACCAATGTCCCTGTAAATTCATCCTTTGCCATTATCACCTTCTCTCTGCATGCACATTTTAATCTCATTAACACTGATGGCATGTAATAGGATTTGTATTTAATTTTTTTAATGTTCTCCTTTAAATTAAAGGGCATACCTAGCAATACAAAATATAATTTGTTTGAAATTATACAGTTGCGTTTTTATCCTGTTTTTGAAATCCTTCAACATATTAATAGCAAATACACAGAAAACATAATCTCAAAATAGCGGTCTTGGAATTATTATCATGAAAAATAATTTATCTTAATCTGATATTTCCAAAAGAAAACATTTTCAGGACTTCTCCTAGCCTAAATTTCACTTGTTGGCCTAAAAAAGCTTTGTTTTAAATGTTGAACTAAACTTGAAATGACCATTTGTTCAACAAAATAAGTCCCAAAGGCTCTCTGGACAACCAAGGCCCTGCTTTGGATTTTCTGTTGCAAAGCCAGGATCTATATCCTAAAGAGAAGAGCTACAAAAGTATTTTTAGTAAATGCATGACTGAGGTACTCCCGTTATGTCAGAAGATTTAGCTGAAACTTACTGTACAGCAAAGTTTAAAAGACAGTTCTATCAAATATCAAGGATATTATTCTGATGTTTACCAATTATATCATTTTGGTAATCTTAACAGACCTAAAATGACAAAAAATAGTCAGATTTAAAGTCATACAATGTGAGAAAAAGGAATATACATGGAAGGAAAACGTACACTACATGCGTTAATTCATAGTTTTGATGCCTTCACTGTGAATCTACAATGTTCATAGTCGTGAAAATAAAGAAAACTCTTTGAATGAGAAGGTGTGTCCAAACTTTTGGTCTGTACCCTATATATGTATATATATGTAGATATAGATATATATAGATAAATATTTACAGGGGTAGAGGTTTTACAGAATTGTAAAGGCAAACAAAGATTAGAGTTTCATTTGACACATGAATTGGGCAACAAAGAAAGAAAACCTGCCTTTTTTATAAGTGTGGCTTAGTTTGTATGTACTTGGTATCTATACCTTCCTGAAATAAGTTGCAACTTTTTTTTTTAAGATTTTGAATAAGATATTTATTATCAACTGTCCAAAAGCTCATATTACTGCCATCTGTGCTACATATGGTTATGTCTCTGAAGGGTCTATTTATTTTATCCACCCTCTTAGCAGATTTATTAATCCTTGTTATAACAAGGTTAGACCAAACATTTTTTTTTTATTCTTTAAATTCATAACACCTGTAACATTTTAGGTTGTGCTCTTAAGAGCCTTTACCTGTTACTTGTTTTGCAGAGCTCCTTTTTCTTTCTGTTTCCATTGAGCTTTTGCTAAGTGTTTGGTTCCTCCCCTTATTTGCTTATTCAAATGTAGAAACTTTAGACTTTGTGGGAATGATGGTGTTTCTGAATGTGCGACATGGAACAGCAAAACAGGAGTACTACCGGTACTCCCATACCCGTTGATTCATTTATGTTTATTTTACTGACTCTGTCCAGTCCCTCTTCTCCCCTCTTAATTAAAGGTTATTTTCTGATGCTATTGGTTAATCTGACTCTGCATCCTTTCTGAGAACAATTATACAGTCAAATTATTTATTTTACAAAATATTAATTTCCATGTAAAATGAAAAGAATAATTTCATTTATATTTGGCCATCTGCTTGAATGTTTTATTCTAAATAAGAGAGGCTTAAAGTTTTGTAAACTGAATTTAACAGAATTGCAGAGTTATTAACGAATGGCTTTTAAATGTATGCATTAAGGAAGGGTTAGGAAGAAAGCTGTGAAGAGGTTCAAATGTTTAGGTATCAAAAACAATGTTGCATGCTTTAAACAAACCTCAGGGCTCTCTCAGTCCATGGTCTAATTATACAAAAAGTGTGTCACAACTAGACCTATTCTGCTCACCTAAATCAAACTCAGTATAGGTGGGTAATAATTTTAAAAAAGCAATATTTGGCAGAGAATCTTCAAACAGGACAAATATTAGTATGCACTCCAACAATCTCAATGTTAGGGAACAGTAGCAAAAAGAAACTCATTAAAAGTATGCTTTGTAGTAGCAATCAGCTGCCACGGTGCAAAGATATGAAAAACATGAGACCTTTGTGGGCTCACAAGCATATGAAAAATATGAGACTTTTGCGGGCTGGCAAGCAAAACCAGTACTGCATATCAACCTGAATGCAACATTTCCACTATGAACCTGATGGTGACAATATTATGCTGCAGGGATGCCATTCTTCATTTAAAAGAGACTAATTGGACAGGCTTGGTGTTAAATCTTATAGAGTTAAATACCATTCATAACACACATAATAGAAAACAGGTTAAAGAATCTAACATACCCAACAGTAACATATAGCCTTAATATTAAAGTTCATGGGAGCTCTTTATCTGTTTCCTTACTTATGCAAAGGAGAAAGAGGAAAAAAAGTGAAAAGCTACAATAAATCAACCCCACAAACACTCTCAACTAAGGAAAATTGTTTTACAAAAGGTTGGTTCTAGGTGGCTGAATAAGTAGTACTCAATATAGTGGAAAAAAATAAGTGAAAACCATGCATAAGTTGTCTTACACTTCAGAGCAATGAAGTCCCCCAAATGATCAGAAATGTGTTTGAAAGGTTCAACAAAAAATTTTAAAAAAGAAAAGTTCCGCAGGCAAGATTACTTTTGCAAAACATTGTAATTAATAATTTTTTTATAAAACTGTCCCCATTTTTTTTTTATCAAGATTTTTTTTTCAAAATGTGAGAAACCGTTCAGCCGCAGTAGGCATGTGTAAACAGTCTGTTGTGTTTTGAGCAAATATCTGAAGCTATTTCTGTACTTGTTTAATCATGTTCTTAGCAGTCCAGGTGCTGGAACCAGTCACTGCAGCCCACAGGTAAGAGGCATGCTACACTCCGGACAGGTTGGGTAAACATGACTTACAGTAATCAGATAACGCTCTGATTCTACTTGATGCACTTGTTCTAAAAACGAAAATCTTTTTAAAAAATATATCAATACTATCGAAAATATATATTCAAGATTTTAGTCGAATATTTAATCCCCCCCTCTCATTTTCCTTTCTATGCTCCCACCCATTGCTCAGCAGGGTTCAGCTCAGCTGCTCTTCTGTTGTTTTTCAGGCTATAAAACCCCAGGCTGACCCTCTGGCTGTCTTTTTTGTCCACCCTTCTCTCTGTACTGCTGTTTTCCTGCACTATCCGCTGCGACCTGGGTCCAACTGGCCGAACTGACCATATAGTTTCAGGTATGCCCTTTAATGAACTGTGCAGCATGTTTGACTCAGCAGCGCTCCATGGAGTGGTCCTGCTTTTTGGGATTAGAAGGGTTTTAGTCCGCCATTGAAGTGGTCAACGTTGGAGAGCAGAGGCTGACCTCTTTTTGAAACAAAATCAATTCATTTCCAACTGTTTGCTTGGTTTTTACAATGTATTTTACAGGGAATCTTTCTATAATGTTATATCATGCATTTTATAGTATGTTTCCCTCAGTCTGGTCGAACATTTATGTGATTTGTTTCATTTATTTCATAAAAAAAAAATACTTTATCAGACTTTTTTCCCTGTATCTTTGGTCAATTGGTTTTAGGACCAGGAAAGAGATGACATCAATGAAAATGGACAAGCTGTTATTAGAGCTGTTGGTCCTGCTGGGGTGAGGAAATTCAAAACATGTATCACACTGACATACAGTGAACACAGTTAAACCACACAATTGTATAGTGCAAACTGTATATGGTACATAGACATAATTATTGTTATCATGAAGTACATTTCTATAATGAAAAATACAGTGAAAGCAAATATTTACTAAATTAATGTTTTTTCTCATTATCAGATATTCTGTCATACTGCATGGGACTGAGATCAGGCCTCTGTAACATCCAATCCAAAAACATTGCTTTGTTCTCCTTGGACCATTTTTTGAATGATTTAGCTGTATGATTTCTCTGTTTGCTCTCTACTTTATTGCGCATTTGGATGAGCTGAACTCTTGATATGTTGCTACTTTTATGGAGTTTGTTGTGAACACTTAAATTTTTCTTCTACCCATCCATCTGTCCGTTTGTCTAACTGAACTACTGCTGGTGTTCCCAAATGTGAGAACAGGCTCCAATCAGAGAAAAAAGTTTTTTTGTCTGTTTGTGTTGGATTTTTTTTTTCCTGTCGGCGTCTCCCAACTCTCCTGTTTACAGGCCAGTTTCTATATTTTTTTTTTTACTTCTGACATATTTAACTACCTTACCACTATGATGAGTAAGTATATTAAATGTCCAAGATGCTCAGAAGAAGTTCCAACCTGGTTTTTCATCAACAGCTAGACAGTATGTCCACTTGAGGTCAAAAGTATCCTTCCTCAAGCAATGTTGGTTTATCCAACTTTGGTCCTTTCTGGCACACTGGTTTGACCCCATTTACAATAAATCTACCAAATATAAATAAGAAGAATACATCTCACCCATACAGTACCTAGTCTTTGTCTCACCATACAATCCAGTTATTTTGTACTTTGGACAGAGTTCAAGATTTTTGAAGACTATGAAACAAGTCACCTGAAGGTGGTTGAGGGATCTGATGTGGATCTTTTCTGAGGAAATGTATCTAGTAATATCCTAACAGAGTTAGACATCTCTTTAACTGTGAATATATCGGGATTAAATTTATAGATGGATGCACTAACATGTTCAAAACGTTATCATGTTCATAGAAAAAGAGCAAGTAAAGATTTGCTTAATTTTCTGAGTCTTATTACGCTTTACACTAATTAATGGTTTGCTATTCCCCGACAGTGTAGTAATCTAATTTAATGTTGTTTCTAGAGTCGTTGGGTTTAGTTTTGGTGCAATCCAAAGGCCTGATTATGATGACACTCCAAACCCGGAGTTCCTCAATGCATCCTGGATGGCCAGCATCCCTGATGATCAGCCATTGTCTGCAATCACAATGCCAGGAACACACAACACCATGGCCCTGTATGGCGGAGTTTACGCAGAGTGTCAGACATGGACCTTGGCCTCCCAACTTCGAGCTGGTGTTCGTTTTCTAGATGTCCGTGTGCGTCACGTCGACGGGAATCTGACCATCCACCATGGGGTGTCCTACCAGTGGGCTCATTTCGGACATGTACTAGAGGGTGTGGTTGACTTCCTGCATGAATATCCAAGTGAGACTGTTTTGATGCGGTTAAAAGAGGAGTTCAGTGAGACAAATGACATATACAGTGCTGTGGTAGATTTCATCCATCGCTATGCTTACTGGGACCTGATATGGCACAGCAGAATGGTACCCACTATGGGTGAGGCCAGAGGGAAGCTCATCATTCTGCAGGACTTTACTGGTCCAGATTTGGGAATGCGCTACGGTTCCCTGGATATAGCCGATGCCTGGAAGGTATGAGAAGTTAATGTTGTTTTGTTTCAGCAACAATCAAACTGTAGCTGTTAGGATATATAATAATGCTCAGTCAAAGTAAATGTGTTAAAACGGATGGTGAATTTATGCAATCAAACTGAAGTTTCAAGAATCTTATAAAAGTAAATAATTTATATTTTAAAAAATATGTACACTGTAAGTTGGGTCATGATAGTATTAAAACGGTAAAACTTTTGCAATGTAACTTTACTGTTACCTGCAGGTACCAACCCTGCTGTATTTGGAGGAGAAATGGCAGAGTGTCTACAAACATCTGGAGGCTGCACCATCGGGAAATATGGATCAGATTTTTCTAACCTATGCCAGTGGAGCTGGCGTGTTTGCCCACCCCAGAGCTGTTGCACAGGGAATCAACCCACAGCTGTATGAGTACCTGCAGGCTAAGACAAACCAGAACCAGCGCCTCGGAATCATATGCATGGACTTCCCTGCTGCTCCTATGATCCAAACCATTATTGATTTCCAACTAAAAGAGGTTGTAAAAAACAGCAAAATGGATGTGAAGCATGCATCTTTTTTAGTCAGACAGATGATCAAACAATTTGCTGCCAAGAATTGACCTGTATTTTAATGACCCAGAACTTTACGAAAATTTGGTTAAATTTAAAAAAAATCAGCCAAGAGAAATAATTTGACTTTTTAGCCAATGATTTAAAGCTAACCTGTTTTCATACATCATTGTTTAGAAAATGAAAGTTGCAAAACAGGACTACTTTAATACAAAAGGAAATATTGAGTTTAAAGCCTTTGTTTTAAACAAAATTATTAAGTTTTTTAAAATTGTTAAAATGGAAAATGCAAACTTCCTGACTAATAAATGAAATGGTTTAAGCTATGTTTGTTTCTAGCTCTTCTTATTTACTCATCTGAATGAAGACTAAATCTGAATGCCACCTTAACTTTAATCTGCTGCCACCAGATGGCAGATATTCTGAAAAAAGTCTCCATCTATGGTTGCTTTAAGGCTTTATAGAAAATGTGGCACATGAACCATTTATCATACTCTTTTAACATTATACTTATGCACCATTTTCTGGTGGCCAAGCTCACAAAATCCTAAAACAACAAATAAAAAAGCAAGCAAAAACACTGTTTTTCAGTCAATGCAGTGCCATAATTGATCTTAAATGGTCATGATTTATTAATTACCCAGATGAAAATACAATACAGGGTGTATTGGAAGAAAAAAAAAAAAGATTTTCCCCTTTAAATAATGATCCATACCCCATTAACTGTCATGTCCCTTCCACAGGACATACACTCTTAGATAAAATTTGTTGGTAGCCCTATACTGAAAAAAACCCCTACAATGATCACAGAAATAACTTGAATCTGACAAAAGTAATATTAAATGGCCTGTAATTATATAGCACAATTTCAAGTCAGAGGAATTGACCAAAGCGCTTTACACTACATTCAATCATTCACACATTCACACATAAACCCACACACTGATGGTGGCACGCTACACCACCAGTCCCTTCAACCACCATCAGCAGGAAATGCACGTAAGGTGTCCTGCCTAAAAACACAACAACACTGAACGCCATAGCCTTGAACCAACAACACCTCCAACAAACCTCCGGTTTTTATATATATATATATATATATATATATATGGGGGGTGCTTTCAGGGTTCTGCCCTCTGTTTTAGTTTATTTTTTGTTTCTTGGTTATTCTGTATTTATTGTACAGTTATTCTGTATTTCTTGAGTTACTCTCTGTTGCTCCCTTGTGGCTGTTCCTTCCCACTTGGCTCTTTTGTAGGCACTTCTTTTCACACCTGCTCCATATGAGCTCATTAGCCCATCCTATGTTATGTTCCCCATATACTATATATATATATATGTATATATACTCCACCTCTGCAGTTCTTGTTTGCTGGTTTCTTGTTGTTGTTTTGTTGCTTTCCCGTCTCTTGCTTCCCATGTGGATTTTCCCTGAGTTCAATGGATTTTTGGTTTTCAGTATTCTTCGTTTTCAGTTGCCTGTTTTTCTTTACTTAAATCAGTAAAACAAACAGTTTTCTATTCAGATTGAGAGGCTGGCTTAAGATGTTACCCCGGCGCTCACTGAGTGTGTGTGGGCTCCCTTTGAATATGGGCTCCTATGAATACATCTCTGAATTTGGGTCCTCAAAGCCTCCCCCCAACCTGACAGATATTTTGTATAATTCAAGAAATCCAGAAGGAAGACTATAAACAAGAGCATTCAAAGAATCTCAGTATTGGCCTTCCCCATTAGTTATGCTTCTGATTATATCTGAGACGTTGCGTTAAACCTTCTGCTGTTTTTTTGTTGTTTTTTTCCCCCCTAATGTCTCAATACTGGGTGGCACTCTTTCTAATGGTTGTTTTTTTTAACCTTTTAAAAGACAGAAGTTAATAAAAATCATCCAAACAGTGGTCAGATGTTTATTCTGGTGCCTTTATATTAGTAGACAGATATTTGCTAAACTAATAGTTTAATACATAGAAAGTATAATTTTATTCAAGTGTCCCATTATTTTCTTGTTGGCTTAAAACCCTGTGTTTACACTAAGAGGGTTTTACACTTGTTGAAATATCTAACTGCATAAATTCTGAACCTTGTTTTGAAAAAAGTCTGATTCGCAGAAGAAAACACCTCCATAGGAGAGGCTGGTGGTTAAACATAAAGCAATATTTTGTGTGTCAGTTGTTTGCATCAGATGAGTTGCAGATTTTATCAAATTTCCTCTAAGAAGTAAAAGCTGTTGCAAAAGAGGTTGAATGTCTTCAACCAAATGACTTAACATCCTGTTTAAACTGCAAACAGCGTCCGCAAAGTTGTCGGTTAGTTAAGGGCAACTCATGTAGGAGTCTTAATTCAGAAGGAAAAATAAGTTTAAAGGTTTCTTTTATGTTAAAACCCATTCTCTGCAGCTTCTATTTGCTTGATTGAAATTTAATTTTAAAAGATGGACTCAAGACCTCAAAGTGCCGGATTAATTGCAATAATTGGTGAGATATTTTTCTGTTTATTACAATTTTGACATTAAATTTAAGTTTCTTAAACCTTTGCCTCTTTCTTTCTGTAGCTGTGATGAACATTATTTGGTGGATGGTGATGATAGCAGCCATTGGACTGGGTGGGTTAACTTTTGTACATCAACTTAAAATTCTGAGGCATCATGAGTTTAAGTGATTTATTGGCTGTGCAGGTGCCACACATATGGACCGCTGTCCCCAGCAGCCCAAAATCCCTGTTTACCTGATCGTGCTTGGAGCAACAAGCCTCCTATCTCTGATTTTCACCTACAGCAGCAGTGGCTACCAAGACGGAGCCGTTCACATCCTGAGCGTGGTCTGCATGACTTTCCTGCACATCTTTAGTTTTGCGTGGCTGATAGCAGGTGTGAAAAAGTTTTAACTCTTTGCATTCAAGCACTTTCTGATTTACTGAAAATTTTGATAATAGAAACACGCTGGTGTAATTTTGCAATAAGATCAAAGGAAATGATTAGTGTTACCAGTTTGGATAAAAACTAAAAAGCCTAACTTATGCCAAACATAGGCTTAAAATCAGCCTTTCAAAAACTGTTTCTGTGTTTTCATTTTTTTTTTGTCAAAAAAACAGGAAAAAATATGATGTGATGCACAGGAACTGCTGGTTACTTTTAAATTAGGACTAGAAATATTACAGCTTTTTTCCTTTAAGATCAAATGCAAAGTCATCAGTTTCTTTAGTACAAAGCAATTTTCAGTTTGTATTTTAACATTTAAATCTAAAAGTATTCATAGGGTTTTATTGTTAAGAGTTTATTGTTATTTCAAAATTGCTAATTTATGATTTTTTCTTTTATATTAGTTACAGACATAATATGTACAGCAATTAAAGATTCATACATGGTATCTTCTTGTGCTCTTTCTGTAGGCTCGTCATGGGTTTATTCAATTTACCCTCCAAACTACAGTGAAAAGGGCCAATACTGCCATAAAACGACCTACCAATTTGCATTTGTTGTAACCACACTCCTGTGGGTCGCCATGATCTTGGTGATCCTCTGCAGCTGCTGCTTCGCTCTCCTAACCTGCTGCACCACTGTAGTTGCAGGACGCCACTTGTTACCAGACCGCAAAAGCTTCTATGGTGCAACAAGTTTTCATGAACCAGCAACGGGGGATGTGTAATTGAAATTTTGGTTCTTGTGTTAAGATAGTGGAGGAAGTTATTCTTACACTGCTAACAGTGTAGAGTTTAGTCTTTCTGCTGACACCTCCCTGTGTTTCCCTGACATTATTAAAGCTTACACACTAGGTAGAACATGTAGCTTTAGCTAGAAATCCCTCTTATACTTTACATTTAATCCTTTTTGTTCGTTATTTTCTAAAATAGACATATTCATGATGCATGAAAATATTTTTGCTTCACAGCTTAAATTCTCAAAGCAGTTTAGTATCAGTGATTGTTTTGCAGGCTCAGTTCAACTGGTTGCACCAGAGCTGATTAGATTGTTTCCTGTTATAACCAAATGAAGATAAGGCATCCGCTAGCACATACATTCAGTATGAATTTGAAATGTAAGTAATCAAAAAGACAAGGCTGTATGCTAAGACTGAGCTCTGAACCTCAAATTTACTATATCAAGTTGAGTTTTTTTTTACTTCTATGTTTTCTTGTATACTGATAAGTGCCTGATTACATATTTCTAGCTCTATTCTGAACCTAATTTACTTTTCTATCCATATGGCTCACAAATGACTGTTCAATACCCATTTTCATCTGAATTACTATTATTTTGTTTTTGTTTTAACGTCTCTGAAACCTGTGTAGTATTTACTGGAATCATGGGTTCTTTCTTTCACAATGCAATGTTTTTTTCCGTTGGTGTAAAAAATAGTAGCGTGTAGGAATATTACTTTAAAATGACAAAGAAATACGTAAGATTGAATGATAAATGTTTATTAATTTTTTTTTTATATTAATGAATTTCCATTACAATGTTGACAAAAGAAAACAATAAGTTCTTAATAAGATAAAAAGAGATCAACTTTGAAGAATAATTACATTTAAGTATCCTCCAGGTCTGGGTAAGTATGTTAAATCAATCAAAAATTACATCCATCCATGCTTGGTTTTGAAAACCTGAAGTTAATATAAATATTGTTCTGTATTTTGAATAGATTTTATTTGCACATGGATTAAAATGAACAAAAAACTCTTAAAATTTTTTTTGAGTCCAATAAATTGTGTAATTTGGACATAAATCATCCTCCACCTTCCATTGAAAACATCACTGGGGTATGAAAAGCAGACACTAGATCTTGCCTAATTAAGAGGTCTCTTTATTTTAAATTACTAAGTAAATATGAATCTGTAACACATAATAAATTAGAAAATAAACTAGAATTGATAGATAAAATGGGATAAAAGAAGGGTGTTATTACCGGTAAATAAAAAAATAAAACATACAAGCTTAAGCTATTGTTTCGAATCAATAGTATTTATAATATTAGATAAAGATACAGTATAAATTTATTATTATATTTGGTATATAACAGTACAGCAGGTAAACATATTAGCTAGAATACAGCAATTTTGTTCTATAGTCTATACTAGTAGGTAGCAGTAATGCGCTATCAACATTTTTGCAAAGCGCCATTGAACCTCACAAATAAGATTTATCTGTAGTACAAAATCTTATGTTAAATCTTTAGAATTTGTAAGAACAAAAGGTGCTAGTAATTTTCTTTCTTTCGTGAGTAAATTTAATCTGCTGGTTTAACGCCCTGTTCTTGAATCTATGTATAATATAATGTTGCCTCATTATTATTATTTTATT